TGCCAGCACTACTAGCTCAGTCTGGAAGCTTGAAGTTGTTTCTGGAGTTGGTGCATTAGCAGCAGAAAGAGGAGAGCGTGGGCGTGTTTCAAACTCAATGCAGCCCAACTCCCCGAGGACAAATCAATCCCTGCTCTGAAAGATATGGGAGAGGAGGAAGTGTGGCGGAGAGGCACCGCACTGCACACTCCAGTCTCTCTCTGTCTCTTGTTAATGTGTATAATATGTGAATTAGAAGAAGCTTACTCGGAAGCTTGTTTTCAACACTTTACTGACACTATCTTCCTTTAAAGCAGTTTTCATGCTGTGTTAGATGGGTTTTCACATTCTGTATCGGAACAAGAAAACTAATGGAGCATGAAACGGGGGCCAATTGCCTATTCAAATCTCAACACTCCCCCAAAACCAAAAAAAGCCTACCAGAAACCTTGTGTATTGTATTTTGTTCTTGTGTTGAGTGCACTTATTGCTTTTATGTTCAAGAACAATTATAGACAGCTACCCTCAAGAGTCAAGTTCACTTTATTGTAACATTCCACTTTGTGTTTTGTACTTCAGTTTTAATTCTGGTAAAGTACTAACAACTATTTACTATTGTTTCCTGATGATGATGAAACATTAAAGAGATAACCCATCTGACTGTGGAGGCTGACAGCATTAGAGGCAAATTAAACATCTGCAACATCATCAACACCAGACTGTAAGAATGAACTTCAATACATCAGTTACTTTGAGTTATGACATTTCAGGTAAACTGTTTGCTTTGTGCAGTTTGACATTTTGAAGTCCTGCTCAGAGCTGATAAGTTAGGTCTCCAGTGTACTCAGCAAACTAATTACCAGACTGCAGGAACATTAATGTCAAAGTGTGACTGGATTCATTTGTTCCGATTGTAAATGTTCAGAATGTTCTATTTTGGACTTACATACTACTAAATAGCTTCTTGTTTTTGTTAGCAAAGTACATCTTTTTACAGCAATTGCTTCTAACGCAGGCCCTCATGTGGCTGTGTGTTTGCTCTTGTCGCCAGCTGTGCCTCCGCAGACCTCCTGGAAGGTAGTGGTTGGTTGGTGGGCTTCCAGCCAGCTGCCTATTTTTACTCTCTTTATGACTCAAACTGCTTAATGAGAGGATACATGTACACCGACATATGTCTGAGCCACCGGCCTGATGTGAGGTTAAACATTGACATTTATTGATATCTGTAGCAGCTGTTAAAGTTGAACTACTTATTGTCATAGTTGCACAGTCTGAGTGGATCCGCTGTGGCATACTTTAGCAGCACCATGGTGAGAGGGGATCACAGGGCCCCCTAACAGCTAACAGGGGATGACTTCTCTGACCCAGGATCTGTTCAACCTGTCAAACCTCAACTGTAAAAAAACATATTATCCAGCGGGGATATTGCAATAAAACATTATATCGGGGAGTAACGCAAGAATCACGTGTTCTTTGTGACGGTGTATATTGTTGTTAAGATCACAAACTCAAAAACAACAATGTGTGTTAGCTGTTCAACCTGTGTGTGTGATTGCCTTTTACTATACTGTACATAGTGGTGCTTTTTGGGTAATTGGTTGTGACTTTTGTTATGCATTGTGTAACGCTCAGGAGTGTTTCACACACACACACACACACACACACACACACACACACACACACACACACACACACACACACACACACACACACAGCCTGTAAAAAGGGTTAGGGTTTATTATCCATGCCTTTTTTTTTTTTAGATATACGGCACTTTCTTTCTCGGTGATGTCTTTATAATTAATTTGTATCACTCTCCTTACCTAAGCAAAACTTTTGCACACTAAAACCCAGAAAGGCTGACATACATTGTGTTAAACTGGACACAATTGTTTCATGTCTAATACAACACTACACTATTAACCATTTGCCAACTATCCAATATACTAAGTCTCAACTATAGTGTATAATGGAGTGTGAGTGAGCCATTATTATGCACTTAGCCTAGGATTTATTTTATAAATATTAGTTTTGCTTTGTGTTGTAAGATGACTTGGACTAGTGTCTGAATCAGGGGAGGCCCCATGTGTGAGCCTCAGATGTAGCCTAGATTGCTTTAGAGTCTGACATAGGATTCAGTTTGAGCCAAAAGTCACAGCTTTAGCTTTTTCCAAATGTTAGTACAGATGTGGGACAGCTGCTCTGGAGATGAAATGTTATATTGGAAGCATATTCACATTACACAGAAAGGAGATGGTCATCCAGGATTAAACTCTATGATTTTCCCCTGCTGTCATGATCATTTTGAGTTTCTTATGCTTTATCATTGTTTCTGACAATGTGTGTTGCTGCCTGGTTACTCTTGTTTTATAACACATCTTTCTTGCGTTGAAGTTTTATTAAAATTGAGTTGACGAAGCTTCTTACACAGATTTATGTCCTTGAAGGGTTCTTCAGTTTGAATGTATCAGTTGACGTGTAGTTACTTGATCGTAGCGTCCCATGTTATAATTTGTGGATTGGTTTGTGCCTGTGTCAAATGGGTCAAACTTGTCAAATCCTCCATATGAGGAAATGTAGGTGCACGTGTATTAGGTGTTGGTAAAAGTCTGCCATACCCTCTTCAACATCACCCTATTAATACGGCACACACAGCAAGAAGTCGTGCGGTTGCAGACGCAGGGTAACCTGACCCTCAGAGAGCTGAGTGCCTGTCACAGCTCATTAGCAAAGGGATGAAATGAAGGCTGGTAGAAGTGGCTCTTTGCTTTAGTTGGAGCGGCACCAAGCAGGAAGCCCACAGCTCAGTGCACCCACAGCGACTCAGCAAACAAACCACTCATCCATCCTGCAGGAACACAGCACCTAGCATATCCAGCACCAACATCATTACCACAAACCCATTTGTCTCCAGGCCAAAAGTTATCCAATATCCAGACATAACTAGACAGGAGTCTAGAAATAACAAAGCTTGAACTTACCGTCCACAAAATAAAACATCTTGGTTTTACTTTTTTGTGTAATAAAAGGAGACACTTGGTGGCTTTCTGTCATTTAATCTGACTGTCTACTCAGGTGTCTAATTTTATTTTAATGTGTACTAACTGTAGTGATCTGGTTAGCAGGCAGACTGAGTCAATAGAGCCTCTCAGACTCCCAATTCCCTGCAGTCAGCATAGCAGCAATCAGCCGGCTGGCAGCATCTCCTGCATACTAATATCACTTCCTGCCCGCTCTCAGAGTACACTAGACAAACAACAACATTTGTACCACGAAACATAACTGTTGTGCTTCAAATTGATTGTGTTGCACCTAAACACATTGATAAGCAAGTCCACAAACGTTGCTAACTTGCCCCTCCTGAACAGCTCTCTGCATTGATCTCTCTTAAAAATGTAAAAGGATAGTTGTGTAGATAAATAGCCTAGCCCTAAAATAATGCACAATATTAAAAAATGTAATACTTTTTAAACATCAAAGCAAGTTGTGAATTGGACCACTCGTTCAGTGTCAGGCTCTGTGCTGGTGTTACTCGCTCATGGAAATAGTCTGGATCCCTGGATCCCAGGATATTCCTCATTCATCTTCCTCTCGCCCCCCTGCAAGGAAAATCCAGTGGGGGACAAAGTAGAGGCTGACGGCTGAAAACACACTGATGATCCAGGAAAGAAACCACAAGCTGAGTGGCGCACGATGGCCACCATTTTTCCTATTTGATCCCTAGCAGACAGTGGAAAGCATCTCACTAAAACACATGTAATGTTCCTATAACTGTTTGTAGCCTTGACTCAAAGGAGCCCACACCTAAACAATTTCTTTCTCTGTCTTGTTTTCTCTTTTGTCTGTAAGAAGTGTTTGCTGTGCTCTTTTAACAAATCTCCTGGGCGACTTGTTTTATTTAAAAAAAAAAATTGCTGACATATCTGCATTTGATGTGCTCTATATGCTGTAGGTGGTACGATTTTAAGTGTTGGGTAATTGTTTCAAGGTTTTTCTAATTTGCATGAGGGCGGGTGAATCATACAGGATAAAGAAAGTGTTGTGTAACACTTTCTGGAAGATTTGGGCCTATTTTCAGACACATGGGTCGGATTAGATTTGTCCTCAACAACAATCAATTCTCCGGAAATCACTCTGAACATCATGAAATAGGCGTTTAGTATCTACTGCAGTCAGGAGAATGGGAAATAAAAGTTTGAAAGTACAGCACGGACAACAGTTTAAAGCTTTCTCCTTCAATTTAAACCACTTGTTTGTCTATTTCCCTTTTTGGTCTCACACTCTAAATCACTTTCAATCTACTGTCTGTTAAGCGACTTCAAAATACATTTGATGCAGTTTATTATGTTGGGGTCAACCTCGGCCGCCTGGTTGTGAAATGTTAAGTCCAGACTCAGACAATAGAGCTCAGGTGGGTGTCCTCTGCCTCAGTGTAGCAACCTAACTCTCATTAAACAGAGACCTTCTTTATCCATGTGTGTTGTCCTCTGCAGATATTTTGGGATTGTCTCATTAGTGCCTTTTCTGACAGTAACTGCGTAGTAGGAAATGCAAATGAATAAGCCAAGATGTATTAACCAAGAGGAGTTGGGCGGTTGTATGTGGGAATCACAGACAGTCAGGTTATAAACACTATATAGAATAAAAGGGAGAAAGGAATAAGCACACTTGTTATTAACATACTATAATGTTATATTTAACAGACAGTTTGGCATGAGATTTGCTTCATACAATCTTACTCCAGAGAGGAAGAAGCCTATTAATGAAGGAGATCTTGTGACCTTTCACTAGTAGCACCATCCCATCCCACTTGAGTGTGAATATAATGACCATTACAAAGTGTGAAGAAACATGCATCTCAGTAATAATGATAGCTAATTATCTTGTATACGCTTTCCTCCTGTGTCTGAGCTTAATAGTGTTTTAGTTGATCTGGGATGTCAGTTTTTTCCCAGACTCCTGTGAATGATGGGGTTTCATTATCCACATCCAATTAACTCTGACCTTTTTCTTTTTTACAGAGCTCGATGAATCTTCCTCCAGACAAAGCGCGACTGTTGCGGCAATACGACAACGAGAAGAAGTGGGAACTTATCTGCGATCAGGTGGGTTTCAGTTTTTATGATCCTGGCATGTATTGCTGTAAAAGTCACACTACATCATTTCCAAATTCGGGATAAAAGTGGAATTAATTAAGCTTAGGTACACTGCGTTATAGCTATTGGTTATTATGTATACATTTAAGTTATTTCACTCATCTACCAACCAATCAGCCCTTGATACAGTTTACCTTTTAGGCTTTTCCATTGGCACTTTTGGCCCTGCCTAGTTTAAACCATGCTGCGCTGCTTTATGTGTCCATTATCATTTTTGCCGAGCAGCAACCAAGATGGACATGGATCTCTGGAGTTGGGTCAAAGAGCGCCCAGGTCGCCTCAGCAACAGTGACCTTTTTTGAGCTCGGCCAATTATGACTAAAATACCTTTTACCACTCAAATGACCCTGGGTTGAGAACACAGAAAGGTGTTCTTAAAAGTCTGTGTGTGTGTGTTTAGCGCAGTACTGTTGTAGCTTCTAACTGAATCTCTGTGGTTAGGTTTCTCCCTTGTTCCGCTGTTTGTAATTTCAGCTATCTGCTTTATTTCGACCGACACTCAAAGAAAAACCAAGTCAAGCCAGGACGGCAAATGCACATGGAAAAATCCCATAAGGGAGCATTCAAACATCTACTAAATATATAATCCTGTAGGTCTGTCCCACTGCGTGCCGTGAGCACAGCACACATGCTCCATCGCCCTGCCTTTATCCTTTACACATTGCCCAGGCTTCCCTGGTCAAGTGGGTTAAGTGGCGCAGCAGGGCGCAGACATCAGTTAGTAAGTTAAAGAACTCGGTGATAGGCGTCAGCGCTACATGTAAGAAATAAGAGAGCGTTGTGCAGCGGGCTGTGGTCTGAGTGCTCCACTCACCCTGCAACCTCCGTGTCAGAGAGTTTTTCTGCCTCTCTGAGCACAGAAGAAAAACTGAGACGAGATCAAGACCACCTCCCACTCAAAGTGTATTGATATCCACTGACCCTGAAGGGAACAGTACCAGAGAGCTCACCAGGCTGCCCACTGGAGTCAGAGATCCTCTTTCAGTTCCGAGTGGACTCCCCTCTCAGACCTAAAGTGAAAATTGTTGGTTCCCTTTTTCTTGTCAGTGAAGCTGTTTCCAAAATCATTGTGATGACAAGCGTCTTGGTTTCTTGTTACTTTCACTTACTGAAAGAACACTAAAAGCCAGTCCTCAAAGTGTGTCCACATGAATCATTGTCATCCGTGTTTAAAAGTGACCGGTTTTTACTGAACTTAACTTCATGAACATCTAAATTATTTGCTACTTGATAAAGTGCCAGGAAGTGCATGTATCTGGTGTTAGATCCTTCATTTCCCCCATCGTTTTAACATTCAGACATCCAAGAAAATAGCTTCACTATTCCTTCCTTTCCTCTCTTGTTTTCCTTACAAACAAATACCCATGACAGCACAGGCCGCTCTGGGAGTAAAGCACTTTCTGTGTCATAGCTAAAGTGAATCTCTTTATGTAACCATGGCAACACTGATGGAGGGAGGCAGGGAAGCATAGATGACAGGTACATCCTCTTTGAAAAACAGGCCCCACAAAGCAGCCAGTGGTTGAATATTAAACATTTTTCAGGCAATTACGGGATGTTTATGAAATATGGAGGATGCTCTTGATGTGAACACAAGGTTAAAACATTCAAGAGTACAAAGGAAAAGTTATACAATGAACCCATCTCTCTCAAATCCTGAGACATTTGTATTCCTGTGGCTTTTTCAACAACACATTTCCCTCTACAGAAGTTCATACAGATCTTTGAACTTAAAAGCACCCTCACATGTCGTTACAAAGAAAATGGCAAACAAGTGATTCTTAGCTGATTTCCCCTTTCTCCTCAGTATCTGCTCAACTGCTCGGGTGCAGAGGGGGAAGCATATTAGTAATGTTTTACCCCCTCAAATTGAATCCAAACCAGATCCCCCGGACAAACTCTTTAACAGCAATGTCATGTGAGAACCTGTTCATATTTATGCTCCTATAAACCAGACTAGGTTCCAAAATCTCCTGCTTCATGCATTTACTGCCAAACATTCCTCACATTTCTTTGCATGCAACAGGATATGTACAGTAGTTGTCGTATCATTTATGATTTTGCAGACCAGCAGATAATTCTCGAGCATAGAATCGCTCACATAGGTTTGAACCGGCTAACTGCCAGCTCTCTTCCCTGACGCCACTGTTGTCTTTCCTGTTTTTGTGACGGACGCACTCTGGCAGTGATAAATGTGATGTTTCCGATAATACTGGTGGCCCAGAGATTCCACCTGATCTCTCAGTATCTGTATCTGTAAAGGTGGCACAATGAGGAGAACACATTCATAACATATAACCCTTTACTAGCCTTTTAGTATATTAAGGCTACATCTTATGAAGTTGGACTGTCAGAGAGGAGATTTGATTTTATAGCAGCAGCTCAACAGTTTCTGGTGTTAGTGGCCGTCCTTCATTACAGAGGAAACACCTTTTACATATTGTTGTCTTATCTTGAACAGCCATTGTCCTTTCTCTGCAAGTCCATGGCCACTGTCTTTAAATGACAAGTCTTGGAAACCAGAGCAGAAATAGGACATCCCAGATAAGAAGAGGATAAAAAAACAATCAAACAGGAAATGCAATGGTGGTGAAAATATTTTTTGTTTTAGAAGAGGTGGTCTTTGTTTCAGGTCAGCAGGCTAACCTCTACTATCAAACACTTTGGGGGAACTCTGGAGTCATTTTAATCAAAAAAGAGAATATGTAAAATATCTGCATTGACCTATGACGTGATGCAGCTCTGCTTGAGCTGAGTAAGGAATGTGTGACGTCTTACTGTAAAAACATGTTTTATAGATGTGCGTCTGAGATACTTGCACATGTATGCATTGAAAATAAAAGATGGATGATATGGAACAGATAATAGGTCTTAAGGTAGACTTTTCCTTGAAGGCCTGTCAATTGTTGTAGCTTATTGCTTAATTTATAATATGTTTTGAGTGTGATATAAAGAGTATTATTCCTCAATGGTATGCTCCCCATTCTGACACTCTGTTACGGTTTACTGTAGTGTGGTAAATCACTGCAGTGAACCAGACATGCTGCTGTGATGTTGAGCTCAGTCTGATCCAAATACTGTTTCCCGCTTACTTACTGATCCAAATCCAGCACTAATCTCCTGTATTTATATTTAGAGCACAATCGTGAGGGGATTTGACCTAAAACCTGTTCCTGGCTGTGAACTTAAGAAAAGTGCGCACACAGCCACACACATTGAAGAATGCCCAGGCAGTTGATGCAAATTAAAACCAATAATGATCATCCACAGCATGATCTTTTATGATCTCTTGCAGGCTGAATGACCTTAACGTTCATATCTGAAGAGTTCATCGCATTCCTGCGCTCATCTACCTGTTAAACTAAATAATTGATGCAGAAACCACTGTTAAGCTTGAATGTTTTATTAATAAAATAATGGACATCTGATTACAGTTTATGTTGTTGTAATGTGCCAGACCTGTTCTCTAATAAACAATACATTTGCTTTCACAGTACAGCAGAGGTGTCCACACAAGGTCTATTGTTAAAGTTCAACAGAATTATCCTCATGAAGTGGAACCTAATCTGAGGTTTCCCATCAATTGAAGGATGACTCATGTTTACTGTAGTTTACTCAAAGCCTGTTCAGTTTCAATATGATGACTTAAGATCAGTTTACCGGCAATGTGTCCAGACCTGTGAGGGTGTAATTATTTACTGTGCAATGGAATTGAATTGTCAACCAAATCCACAGAACCTCCTGATATGATAGAGTAATTCATACAATGCGAGTATTACTTCTGTCCTTGTATTACACATGTTTTCAATTGTTCATCTCACTCTTTTGTTATCCTTTTTTTTTTCCATAGGAGCGATTCCAAGTGAAAAACCCGCCTCACGCGTACCTCCAAAAGCTGAGGAGTTATCTAGACCCAGCAGTCACGAGAAAGGTGAGTGCCCTCGCAAACAGACTATCCTGTTCCACTGCTGCAGCTCTTCCTTCCCCCCCTCTATCTCTCGTCCAGGATGTCCCTTACAGCTGAGGAAGGATCACTCTCAGAGCAGACGGCTTGGGAACTTAAGTTAACAGTCAACAGTGAGAACAGAGGCCGTTGTTTATCTGGTACGCCCAGGTTTAAGAGACATCTGCAAAGCTGTAGTGTCATTTGGCAAAAACAGGGATTTAATTGATGTTGCATTGCAGCCGTGAAGGAGCTAACCGGAGATATCAGAAGAGTCTTAGCGACATGATAAACAGATCTTATGTCATCTGTTTCTGTGGTTGCCTGGAAGCAGCAGAAGGGAGTAAGAGGAGGAGCTTCATGAAGAAAAGTATCAGCCGGCTCTCAGGCTTTGCCAAAATGAAGTCTTCTTGGCCTGAGAGAGCTGTGGGGGCAGTGCTGGGAGACCAATCTCCGTGATAAACAAATTAGCCAGTTAACTGCCAGAATAACAACAAATCGCTTAATAATTCAGTTTGCACTCACTGGAATTAGGATTTTACATCACAAAAAGCCAGCTAGAGCAGCATGAACAGAACTATAGTGACCGGGGCAAAGGGGGAAAAGCAGAGGTGTATATAGAGACACACAAAGGACCTCAAATGACAGGACATACGCAGACACGGAGTCGTTGAATTATTGAATTTCTTCAGCTTGATTAGATAAAAAAAATGCAAACAAAATAGTATTGTGTGTGTGATAGAGATTCAGACCTGCATTATTGAAGCGCAGGACAGTGATTCCCAATGGTGGTACCTCAGTCGAGCAGTTTTGTCAGGGCTGGTGGAAAGATTGTTTAGTAGCTTACACTAATTAAAAACATGTATCTACATATAGAGTCAGCCATAACACATGGACACCATGTGATGCACAAAGTGTATTTGCAGCAAGCCCATAATGGTTCAACTTCATTTTGAAACAATTGGATACAAATAACAAATAAACAGTTGAAAATTAGCTAACAGTAAACAATCAAAATAGTTTGCGGTGTGCTAAAAGTAGTGGCTGACATTTTAAAACAGCCAATAAATAAATAACCCGTTATATTGGAATGCTGGAAACATGAGGGAGACAGCTAGCATTGCTCTATCTGAAGGTAATTAAATATTGTACCTAGGCACATAAAGTTACTTATTAACATGTTATCTCCATACAAATAATGGATTGTAAAAATAGCAGATTTTATTAGCTCCAGAGGTTCTGGCAATGTTTATTTTGTGCCTACACTAAGCTAAACTTACTTTCTCCTGAGTATCTTTCATATTTGGATACAGAAAAAGTGTTATCCATCTTCTCAAATAACTTTGCGAAGAAACAAATAGGTGCGTTTACCCTCCTTGAATGAGGTGGTGCCCATGTTCACACTCAACTCAAAGTCATAGCTGAAGGACCTCAGACAGACTAGACAACATTAAATGTTTGTTAGTCAACTAGAGCTTAATTAAGTGACATTTATTCCCTCTACCTTTTTATAAACTCATCTGTGGCTGCATGACTAATTGGTTGTTGGGACTTTATTACACCACTCAAAGTTTCAGAGACATGCCAAAGCTTATTTTAGTTTATTTATCATCTTGTTAAGTCTCAAAGGCTGAGACACGTGTGATTTTGGAAAATCATCCTGCCTCGAAACGCTGCCTCTGCCTATACCTCGCCTTGATCAAAGGCTTGAAGTAGACAAGGAAACAGAAGTTGCATGAAAGTAAAGTGAGAAGAGCAAAGGAGAAGGAGTGAAATAGGAAGGCTGAATAATGGGAGAGAGGGTAAGGGGGCGATAGACAGAACATGAGACACACACAAAAAAGAAGCACGGAGGAAAATAAAGAGTTATGGGCTTCTTTCTAAATTCCTGCTCCATCCCCCTTTTCTTCAAACTCGAAACAATTGCCACTTTGTGCCGCAGTGAGAGAGCTGGAGGTCATTGCCTCTGCTTTCCATAGGCAGGCTCCGATGCATTCCTCTGGGCAGCTCCCAGCCAATAGGCAGCCAAGGAGGAAGAACTCCAGTCCAACTCGTCCCGAAGAATGCATCAGCCATGATTTGTTTCCAGGATGACCCCTCCTCACACTCACCAAAATCCCTGTCTCTCACTTTCTCCTTTCCCTGCTCCCTCCCTGTCTCCTCCTCTTCTTCTCTTTCCGCCTCCTGCCGTCCTCACCCTCTTCCCCCACAGTCGGCTCCTCTCTCTTCCTGCTCTCTGTGTTGCAGCTGGTAGTACTTAAAGTGTGGAGTGTAGGGCGTTTGGTGGAATAAGAAGAAGAAGGGGGGGGGGGGCCTGTGAGAGCCTGCGCAGTACCCCTAAATGTGCTCTGCTCTCCACACAAACACACAAAGGGCTCCTCCCTAATAAAAACACTCTGTTTCTCATCTCCTCGTGTGCCAAACACACACCGCCAAAACACACAGCCCAAAGACACAGCCCAAAGACACAGCCCAAAGACACAGCCCAAAGACACAGCCCAAACACACAGACCAAAGACACAGCCCAAAGACACAGACCGAAGACACAGCCCGAAGACACAGCCCAAAGACACAGACCAAAGACACAGACCAAAGACACAGACACAGACCAAAGACACAGACCCAAGACACAGACCAAAGACACAGACACAGCCCAAAGACACAGACCCAAAGACACAGACCGAAGACACAGCCCAAAGACACAGCCCAAAGACACAGACCAAAGACACAGACACAGCCCAAAGACACAGACCCAAAGACACAGCCCGAAGACACAGCCCAAAGACACAGCCCGAAGACACAGCCCAAAGACACAGACCGAAGACACAGACCGAAGACACAGCCCGAAGACACAGACCAAAGACACAGACCGAAGACACAGCCCAAAGACACAGCCCGAAGACACAGCCCAAAGACACAGCCCAAAGACACAGCCCAAAGACACAGCCCAAAGACACAGCCCAAAGACACAGCCCAAAGACACAGCCCAAAGACACAGCCCAAACACACAGCCCAAAGACACAGCCCAAAGACACAGCCCAAAGACACAGACCGAAGACACAGCCCAAAGACACAGCCCAAAGACACAGCCCAAAGACACAGCCCAAAGACACAGCCCAAAGACACAGCCCAAAGACACAGCCCAAAGACACAGCCCAAACACACAGCCCAAAGACACAGCCCAAACACACAGCCCAAAGACACAGACCGAAGACACAGCCCAAAGACACAGACCAAAGACACAGACCAAAGACACAGACACAGACCAAAGACACAGACCCAAGACACAGACCAAAGACACAGACACAGCCCAAAGACACAGACCAAAGACACAGACACAGCCCAAAGACACAGACACAGACCGAAGACACAGCCCAAAGACACAGCCCAAAGACACAGCCCAAAGACACAGCCCAAAGACACAGACCAAAGACACAGCCCAAAGACACAGCCCAAAGACACAGCCCGAAGACACAGACCAAAGACACAGCCCAAAGACACAGCCCAAAGACACAGCCCGAAGACACAGCCCAAAGACACAGCCCGAAGACACAGCCCAAAGACACAGCCCGAAGACACAGACCAAAGACACAGACCGAAGACACAGACCAAAGACACAGCCCGAAGACACAGCCCAAAGACACAGACCAAAGACACAGACCAAAGACACAGACCAAAGACACAGCCCAAAGACACAGACCGAAGACACAGCCCAAAGAGGGACTCGTGCTATGGGAACAGCTCTCTTCTCTCTGGATGGTAATAATAGGTTAACACAGGGCTGAGCTCTGTTTCCTCCCTGATACAAACGCAACATGGAAAGTGACCAGGCCCTCCAACCCTGGGTGGATCTCATCTCTTCTCTTCTCTTCTCTACTATTCTCTTGTCTTGTCTTCTTTCGTCTTCTCTTTTATTCTATTCTACTTTCTTCCCACATTTTAGCTAGAATACAAGCAGAAAACCTATTAACCAAGTAAAAAAAAAAAATATATATATATATATATATATATAATGTAGAACGTTTGAGAGGAAGGTCATAATTGCAATTGTCCTTCTGACGAGTATTCCTAAACAGTTTCGATTAATTGGTTTGTCTTAAAAATTATAGTGACATCCTCAAATGTGTTGTTTTGTCCGACCAACAGTCCGAAACTAAATCAGAGAAAAGCAACAATCCACATTTGATACATTTTAACTAAGGATATTTTTGCATTGGTGCTTAATTACCAACTTATTTACTAAATATTTTACCTTTTCTATTGGACTTTTTTTGTGTCCTGGGGCTCTATAATGTAAGCTCAGAAAAAAAGAAATCGCTAAAAATGTTTTATATAAAATAATTTTTCTCTTTAAAAAATAAGACATTTTATGAATATTATTTTTTGTTTGATTGGCATGGGAAAAGAAGTTGTGATACAACAGATACACGCCCTCTCATCAAGGATTTCCCACTTCTGTGTGATCACCACCGGTCATTCCCTTGCTGCTGCCGTTGTGTAACAGCCTGAAGGGCCTTTTGTTTGTTTGGCCCTGCAGATAACCTCCTATCAGAGGCTGAAATCAAAGAGGAGCCGACTAATGTTCTCTGTTCAGTTTTTTTCACGGGCAGCTCATACCTTAATGCACGTTGCTCACACAGTAACACACTCCTAAACGGTAGCCACCGTAACAGGACAGAATGTGTGTGTGTTTGTGTTGCTGCTGGGTGTGCTGCTCGAGCTTGAGAGGTAACCAATTAGGTTACTTGATTTTATCACGGTGGTACTAGTAGGCATTACAGCTACATAAAGAACAAATGTGAGCAAACAAGATAATGGTAACTACTCCATATTCACAGTTTCCAATGAGTCAGCTTGCCTCCTCTGTTAGCCGGTTAGATTGTTACTGGCAAGTTCGAGGCCCACTTAAAAATCGAAAGAAAACCTCAATCCCAACTTTTATTTGGTAATCAGTTGCCTGCTTTCACATGTGTATGTCACAGTGGTTGCGTCCATGCCTCTCTGTCTGGCCTTTCTATCAAAAAAGGTTTTTCCCCACGCCAAAACATCCCTACCCCGCTACTTGATGATTTACAGTACTAGTGGTACAATGACTTATTAACCCGCCCCCCCCCCCCCTTTTTTTCCTTCCTCAGAAATTCAGACGGCGAGTTCAGGAGTCCACCCAAGTCTTGAGAGAACTGGAAATTTCGTTACGGACCAATCACATAGGGTGAGTGAGTCACTGCAGGATTGTGTGTAAAGCTTGTGTAGTATTGAATGTCCCAGACCTGGTTATATTAGATTGAGGGGGGAAAAGTCTGACATTCCAGACACCCGGAGACGCAGACTTTGACACTAACCACCAGCACCACCACCACCACCATCCCCCATTCATTTCAGTGCTCATGCCCAATATTACACAGAGAGCCATGGGGCGATTGAGAAAAGATGAATTGATTGATTGTTAAGCGCAAACGTCACGTGAGCAGCCTCTACAAATGAAAACACGATTATAGTGTTTCAGTCTGCCGTCCTTAAGGTGTTTTATTTCAGATGTAACAAGATATCATGGTTTCCCAACAGATAAAAACACAGCAGCATTGTGTGTAATTCCAGGTATTCAAGAATAACAAGCCTCAGCCTGCTGCAGCTGATATTGATTCAGCGTTGTAGTCATCGTAAAGGAAAGATCAATATCTCTATGAGCGTCACACGATGTCCCAGTGTTTGGTCTGGCAATAGATCATAGGGCCTATCTCTGTGATTAGAGACCCTGATAGGTAACGACTCTGATAGATTACTCTGAATCATTCATTAGACCTAATGCATTCTGGGATCTGGAGGACTCGGGGACATCATTTATCAAGGCAACTCTTAAAGAAATGCAGATTAAGCATAGGGATGAGAGAATATTGTTTGGTTGAATTTTTTCACAAAGTAGAAAACTGTGCTAACGGGTTATTCATAAATGAAGCCCCAGGATGTTTTTGTTAGCATTGATGACCAGGGCTAGCAGCTAGGAGGAGGCTGAAGGTGGGAGACCATGGAGACCCTTTGTAGGACAGGAAGAGGCTGCCACGAGAGCTGGTCACAGACTGTTGTGACAGCCAAAGATATGGTGGTTACACAACCAGACCTCAAATAAATGTGATCTAAACTACATCTCTTAATCCCTCTGTTTTTCTATTTTCCTCCCTCCCACACACACACACATATTATTGGACTCCAATTCATGTATTTCGCTGACTCTCACACAAATCATCTCATTTTTCTGACAACACTGTCTCTCACACTCCTACACACTGTTTACACATCGATCAGATTCAGCTCTTCAGACCAAAATAAACTCAAACCACAGCCAGAGACGATGTCCGTCTGGCAAATCAGTGGAGGCATTGTTTACATGGATTCATTCCTTTTAGAGACCTTATGTTGGCAAACTAGATTACATAAATAATCTACCTAATCTAGATTAGACAAAGTGCTACCACAATGGCAATGACAGGGAGTGAGATTGAGATAGGAGGGCTTGGCAAGGGAGCAAGATGTCACCCACTCAGACAGTGAATAACGTCTGCTTCTTTTCAGAGGTTAAACAGAGAAATATATCTATCATGAAGGCAATGTATAAAGGGTAGATTGTCCCTGTACGAGCACTGCTGAATATACCCCCAGCTCCTCACATGTTGCTCAGTGGTCAACAACATTTGGTGAATGGGAGGATTGTTAGTTAGTGTCCTGTGGTAATGATTACCATGTGTCCCGACAAGCCCTTTTTAAAGGCCCCACCAGGCACCGCTTTACTGGACGCTCTCGTTAGAGTTACTCACTCCCATATAGTTACACCACAGGGGAGCTTATAAAGAAACAGCTAGTGGATTTTTAAAGCAGTTTAACCTTACATCTTCATCTGATCAATACCACTCAAGCCCACCCGCTTGTCATTATGTTTATGTCTTCTACATTTCTCTAATCACTGAGCAATCAGGCCTATCGAAGCCGTCGGGGCTCCAGTAAATAGCACCCTCATAGGATGCGATTAAATAAAGATGTTCTGTGATTCCACTCGCTCTGCTTATAAATATGGAGAGAGAACAGCACATGCCAAAGGTAGCGGGAGCTTTGCCTTAGAAAGGCCCACTTCAGTGTCTGTAAAGAGAGGTGAGAATGGGCTTTTGATCATTCTGATGGCATGTCTTTACAACAGTTGCAAACTATGTGTGAGGTTAGAGAAACAGCAACAGAGTAAACTCAGGTATGGTTAAAGCCTGCATAGAATATTATAACACATTATGCTAAACAAAAAGGCACTTAAAAATATCTCAATGTTATTGTAACAGCAGTACTTTTGCTGTATTATTTATTTTGGTGCAGTTTGTCTTTTTTTAAATGCTGAATGGGAGGCATGTCAATTACTAGACATGTTAAATATTCACATGAGCACGCATGCTAATCAAAACATGCCGGGTTTCTTGGCAGGTAACATACAAGTAAAAAGAATATAACATTCTTTAAATGTTCTGTTTTTAAAAACATGTGTAATTGTTTTTTTCCAGACTCAGAGAATGAGTTTTTAAGCTAAGATTAACCCAACAGCAATGAGCTTGAAATCCATTCAACTGAAAAGCCCCCAATATTAAACAATTCTGGTTCTGGTTGTTTTGAAGGTGTGCCCTTTCTAAAATGTATTTTAGTAAGACTTTGTGTGATAAACTTTTGTGTTTCTCTTTCTCTTCAGGTGGGTGAGGGAATTCCTAAATGAGGATAACAAAGGCCTGGACGTGCTGGTGGAGTATCTTTCTTTTGCACAGTATGCCGTCACGTAAGTCACTACCAGCGCTTTTTTTCCAACTAACTATAGTCTATATGCAGAACTCACAAGTGGCACAATGCTGCTATTCTGCACAGCCGCTGATGCATCTCCACCACCACTAATGCTGCTGCTTCTGCTGCCTGCTTGTCAGAAACACTGAGTCACTCGAGGCCAATTGCTGACACATTGGCACGTTGTATTGTACCAACCATAGGCTTCTATTCATGGCTTAATGGTGTGATTATTAGTCAGTCACAAGGTCCCTGTTCAGGGCCAAAGAGCCAGGCAGTTAAATTGTTAATTCAGCCCCCTAATTCACCATATGTTATTATGGTCTGTCCACATTATGAATGGTTAGCCGTAAAAGTGTGTTTACCCTCAGTACCACCACTGCATTATATAAAGGTCATGGAAACGACCAGTCTAAAAAAAAATGAAATGGATCGTAGCAGGTATGCTGTAACTACCAGCTCTTTCCAATGTTTCTGCCAAGTACAACAAAACCTGAGACACTCAGCCTAACTATTATTTCTAAACCAAAAACCTAAAATGTTAGCGTTAGCACTGGAGTCGAGAACATTTCACCTCTCCTGGCACACATTAGTGCTAGACCAATATGTGAGATACATTATATGGGACTAATAGGTAAATTGTCTAGCAGATGTCTCTATTTATATATACACTTATATTTAATTATGTTAGCTGCTCATGTTACAGACAGAAGTGTGTGGTTAGTTGAGCTTAGCTAGGCTAGTTAGCTACTGTAGCTAAAAGGTAAGGTACTTTTATGAATGCCAGGCAATAATACAGTGATGTTATTCAATAAATATTTCTGGTAACTTTGTTGAATGTTTTACAGTTACTGTTATGTTTCATATAAAGTTTGTTTTAAGGTGTAAAATCAGACCTTATAGACATTTACTAAAAACAACACAAAATTATTGATATATTACCAATGTTTTTATTGTTTTCAAAAAACCATATTGTAATGGCTTCAATAAAGCTTGAACTATTGGCAAGTGAATGCATACTGTGTAGTTTCTTATTATATGTGTTGTTTACTTGGTGCAACAGGTTTGATGGAGACTGTGTGGAGAACAACCCAGACGCTCCTATGGACAAGTCAAAGCCCTGGAGCCGCTCTATAGAAGACCTGCATGGAGGAGGCACCCTGCCGTCGTCTCTCAGTGGGAACGGCATCACACGAGCTGGGCGACATTCCACGATACGGTAAATAAGCACACACATTGATGGTTAAGAAGATGTACCAATACCCATGTGTGTTTGTGTAATTTCTGTGTTTGCAGTTTACTGTACCAAGTGTTTATCTGGAGCATCGTGTTTGTATTGGGATTATTTTGAGAAGTCACACCATTCATATGATGCCTTAGCAGCCCTTTTATGTAGTCATGAGGTCTGTATGACTTTAAATGGCTTAAGACACATTTCTGCAGCATAAGGCAAACTCTATTTGTCTAGGTTTTTAGGATTGTCAAACACAGGCTGGTTTTGCACATGATGATGACACACATGACAGCAGGTTTTTATGTGACAGACTGAAACATCTGTTCAAGGACCAAATCCCGAGCAGAAGATTTCACAGAAGTTAATTTTTAAGTCGATGCTAATATATGCTCTGAAGAATAAATCCCATTAATTTGTGCATTATTTCACTAATCCTCCATGTCATGCCATTGATGTTTCAGTACAGCTCCCGCTATGACTTCTGTGACCTCTAATCCTTTAGTTTGAAGAGGTTAACTTGAACACACTGTACACAGAGCACCATTGATCCAATGAGGCACATGCCTCTTTAGTATTATCCTTGCATGGTAATCAAAACTTATTTTCCGTTGCCTATTGTCTCAAAAGTACTTTAAGTAACACATGTGAAATAAGTAAATGTGGCATTCAGGTATTTTTGTTCTCTTTTGCTCTCCTGTGTTACAGTGTTTTTGATCTAATTAGAGTTTGCAATCAGTCGTAGATAGTCTTAGATATGAAAGCCACACCTATTACACTATTAAAGCTATCATGACATATTTTAATCCGCAATGATTTCCAGACAGTGATGGCTTGTTTAATCATCGGGACATATTTATTCTTTGACTCATTGTTTTTTTAATTGTTACACCTATATTATCAATATTGGCCCATATCAGATTATCACCCACACATTTGCTTCCTCCGGATGTACCCTTGTATCATCAGCGTCTACAGTGTGTGTAACAGTGTCTTCAGTGAGGCTGACTGTCTCTTCTGCTCTGTCCTGGTGTTCCTCTATAGTCATCTGCTCCTCTGTCTGCCAGTCATCAACAGCAGGCAGGTCTCTCACTTTGCTGGCTCTGCAGCTTGACCCTGCAGCCCTGCTCCCTACACACACACACACACACACACACACACACATACATATACACATACACATACACATACACATACACATACACATATACACACACATATACACACACACACACTATTCCCCTGCCTCATTGTACTTTATACCTCCCTGCTAGTGCTGCCCAGTTTATTTGTCCCGCTGTCTGTGTCGGGGATGTGAATTATTTGTACTGCCAGCCTCCCCTCCCGCGCTCAAGACTGAATTCTCCTCTCCTCGGAGCAAATGGGTTTTTCTTCCCTCATTGTTCTTGCCTCTGTGCCTGTGTGCTGCTTGTGTGGCTCCCTAAATGCCATTCTGTGCAGAAGCTAGCCTAGTTTCAACAAAAGCCCTGTAAAAGTGAAGGCTTTTACTAGGCTTAGGTAGCCTCTAACCATGTTCTGTATTTTGGATTCCTGCTAATAGTTTTTGAAGCATTTGCTCTTGTGGTTTATAAATTCTTTAATATCCATAATACAGAATATCTGTCCCTTTTTGTGCTTATCTCGCTTTAGCTTAGCTTTAATTGAGAATAATGTAAGATTCAATGGGTGTCAAATTAATACTTGTATATGTCTTCTTCAAACTGCCATCTTGAAGGACACCAAGCACACTGAGCTGTCCAAAGTGCTCTGAAATACGACGGTATGGAATGTGCTGGAAATACATAGCTGTGTTAGACCTGTATCTTATATTTATACATGTAGTATTTGGTGTTGTCCTGTGGTGTTATTTGTTGTGCACAAGCTGTTTTGGGAATTGACATTAAATATTCACATTCAGGGAAGGATTCTCTGATTGAAGAGAATAAAGCTGTCCACTCAGCTCTCCTCTTCCTTCAGTTTTCAACTCCTTTCCTCCTTGGAGTCATATTCAAGTTGCAGTGTTTGATATAAAAGTTGAGTTGAGTAATTTCAGACAAGTCAAAGCAGGTCAAGGTGTAGCATATTGCGTAATCATTTATCATCACTTTGAGATTAAGAAATATTGTTACTCATTTCCTCAAAATTGTGCCGCGCCTCCGTTTGGATGTGTATTACCGGGAGAACACCTTTTTAGGATTGTTGCCACATCCTGCTTAACATGACAAGTAGAATGCTAATTATTTAAATGACATACAAACTAACAAAGTTTAGACAACATTTTTAAGACATGATTAACTGAAACATTTTGTACATCAACAAACATTCATGATTCAAAATAGTTCTACATCTGTCTTTGAACTGCTGACTCACACACACACACACGCACACACACACACACACGCACATGCACATACACATACACATAAACATACACATACACATACACATACACATACACATACACACACACACAATGTTGTGACTCACAGCAAAGTCAGGCCTTTAGGCATGGGAGCCGACACGAATCGCCGTGTCTATCAGTAGCCTGAAGACACATTTTCCCCCAGAACTCAGGGCGGTAATTGAACCTCGTGACAAAAGTCTGAAAATAAACCGTTTAGCTCTGACTGGCTCTGCATATCATTCAGTAATACTGCTGCTCCAGCATTCTTTTTCTTATTGTGAGAGTTGCACCAGGAGAAAAAAAAAGCCTTGTTTTTGTCCACATAAAGCAGCACAGTCAGTGTGTTGCATGCAAATGACTTGCTTCTATTGTGTTAGCTATAAGTGATATCTTTGTTAAGGACATAAACTTAAAACAATTGAAAGAGGGCATCCTGTTGCCCCTGGCGAAGGCTGTAGATTATATGGCCTTTGTGTGTGTTAATGTAACGTGGTGTGGCAGTTTAACAGCCTCCCTATGTGAAGTAGGTGGTGTGTGATGGAGACTCATTCACAAATAGCATCTGTTTTCTTATTTATCCGGGCCTCGTGCACTCTTGTTTGTGTTCAGAAACTCAAAAGTTGTCCCTTTTTTCTTTTGGTAAAAAACGTTCCTCTCATCACTAAATGTCTTTTGTCTTTTCTATCTTTTGTTTTTTAGCTCCAACACACTGCCGAGCCGGAGAACTCTGAAAAACTCCAGATTGGTCTGCAAGAAAGATGATGTCCACGTCTGCATCATGTGCCTGCGTGCTATCATGAATTACCAGGTCAGTCCTGTGCACACAGACTGCATGTCCCTCTGGACTAAAGCACACGTATCTAACTGCAGCCAAATTCAATTTGTCCCACTGCTAATGCTCCACGTTTCATTTATTATGCAGGGGGATGCACCTCATGCTCTTCCTCTCTGTTAATTAACTTATTTGTATCTGTCTCTCTCCGTCTTGTTTGCTCTTCATCTCCTAGTATGGCTTCAACATGGTCATGTCCCACCCACATGCTGTGAATGAAATTGCACTAAGTCTCAACAACAAAAACCCAAGGTAAGTTAAACTGAAAATCACAATTTCCATTATTATTTACATGTTTGGATTTGTTTACGTTGCTCTTTTCCTGTAAAGAAAGACACAGGAAATAAAATATCTCACTCAAAGGAATTGTATAGCATTTAGAGCTCAACAAATCCAGATATAATACCAACAGACCCCAACCCATAATGGAACATTCAGAGTCCAAACATTAGCCTCAGTGCACCTGCACAGAGTGAGAGTGTCTTTGTAGCTCTCGGGCACATTCATCCCGACAGACGGGTCAGGGCACCTCTGGCACACTCCACCACACGGGCAGCTGCTCACCGAGACAGCAAACAGAAGGACTCGCTCCTGTGTGTGTGTGTGCGTGTGTGTGTGTGTGTGTGCACTTTGTGCCCAGAGGCTCAAGGATTTCCTCAAAAGTGGATGTGAAACCGCTCGCATCACCTGTCACATATCATCTCATCCAGGCAGAGACATCCTGCATGAATGAACTGGAGACTGCACACGCACACACACACACACACGCACACACACACACACACACACACACACACACACACACACACACACACACACACACACACACACACACACACACACACACACACACACACACACACACACGTTCATTTTGTTAAACTTGCCTTTTAATGTAGTGGGTAAGATAAAAATATGGACTTCTTTTATTTTTTTTTTCTCAAGTTTGACACTACAGAGTTATTTTTTCCAAGTTACTAAGAGTTAGTTCATGTGGCTAATTAATATTTATAGGATATATATATATATACACAAAATAATATACATTGTAATTATCACCCATGTATATCCAAACTACAACTTCAGCATTGGCAGGATCTTAAATCACACTGTTTTCCGCGTTGTTTGCTCTGTGTTAAAGTACAGGTTGCCGCAGTGCTGGCTGTCATTTACTAACCATCCTTGTCTTTATTTATCTCCCTGTTTTGCAGAACTAAAGCTCTAGTCTTGGAGCTCCTGGCGGCAGTTTGTCTCGTGAGAGGAGGCCATGAAATTATTCTCTCTGCGTTCGACAACTTTAAGGAGGTACGAGCTGCACGGAGAGGGAAAGTGGGGTCTAAGGAGACAGATATGTCATTACATTCGGCTGTGCATTTCAAACGGTGACTCAGCCCTGGAGGAATGCTTTGCCGGCAGATGTGAGAGCAGCAGATTCCTCAGGATAGCATCATATAATGAGCTCTTTGTCAACAGATTACATACTCTGCTTTAGCTGAATAGCACAGCAGGACACACTTAGCTACCAGAGAAAAAAATTAAAGTGTGTTAACTAGTTTTAGCAGACACATCAAAGCTCAAAATAGCCTTGGCTGACCCATGTCTGTCTGGATAAGGTATTCTGGCTGCAGGAGGAAAGAGTGGGAGGGGTGTTGGAGCTAACAGCAGCCAAACTTTATAGCATAGGACCCACAAAAAATGGGCCGACTGCAGTTAATGCAATATTTACAGCCCTGAATGAAATATTGAGTGTTGATCTCAGTGGTAATGGTATTAGACGGAGAAGAAGGCTAAGGGAGAACGCAGCTCTACTAATGAGATTAAACTTTATGTCATGATAGTGTAGGCTGCTGGAAGCATTTGAGAACTCGTTCACATTTCCGTATCTTTCTGCAGTGAATTGAGGGCACATTATGGTGGTCCATTTAAAAAAAAAAAAAAAAGCCCTCTGTACTGACTTTGATATCCTGTGAGTGATGAAGGGGCTGCAGGCTGAGACTCAAACATTGTTCCGAGGTTTTTGGATATGCACTCTCCTCTTCCTCCCTCCCTTCATTCTCAATTCTTCATCATGCTCCATCTCCCTCATTGCCCTCCAGATGAACTGTCTGATGTGCAGAGCATCTCTCCTTTTTTATTTTTTATCTCCCAAATTCCAGTTCCGATAAGCATGGGAAAATGACGACAGTACATGTGATACAAGTTTACCCATAAGCAATATTGAACACAGATGCACTCCGGCAGCAGGTCATGAATATCTGAGGTCATGGCGAGCTGTGATGTATTGAGCAGCATTTTATTTTCATCTTCACCAAATAATGATAACCTCTGGTTTTCTGACTGGGATTGGTGATATTAAAGGGACCATGACACAACGGTTCTAGTTCATATTGATGGAAAAGCATTCATCTAGTGTCACTGTGTGTGGGTATCACAAAAGTTCAAGCACAAATGAAAAATGTTTTTGTCTCAGGCAGCGATTGGTGCATAAATGCCTTCTGGTTGCTCTCTACACCTAAACTGCAATAAATAGAATAAGTGAGATGTGTTTTGTTTTGCAGGTGTGTATAGAGACACAGCGGTTTGAGAGGCTGATGGAGTATTTCAAAAACGAGGACAACAACATCGACTTCATGGTATGTTCTCACACACACACACACACACACACACACACACACACACACACACACACACACACACACACACACACACACTCCATATGAGCATTAATCACACTGCAATCCCTTGCTTCCAGTTTGAAGATACACACTCGGCTATCAGTCTTTGTAAGAGCCCTCTAATTGAAGTCATCACTGCACAAACCGCGCATGTGGCGCATCAAACTGGAGTGACCATAAGCTCTGCCAAGTCTGTCATTTCCAGGTAGAGGCGTGCTAATTGCTCTGGCAGATAAGATTAAAAGACGCTGTGAAGAAAGTGCCAACTTGGACCGTATTTTACTCGATGTGTGTGTGTCCATCTAAGTGTCTTAATTGATATGAGGCAAACACTGCATGTGCGTGTGAGTGAAATCCAACAGATGCTGTGTGTGAAGGACTTCACGTCACAAGTCCACTCGCAGTCCCTTGATAGGCCGTCGTCTGACAGCAGCAGTAAAGCAAACAGACTCTGTCAAAGCTGCCATGTCACACAGCGACAACATAGCTTCTTACCGATAGCTGATTAAGCCATGTCAGGGTGAGAAGAAGTGTGTGTGTGTACATCATACACTGTGGGGAGAAGAGCCTCCTGGATCTGTTTACGCAGCTTCCCATGAGGCAGGCAATGGAGTTGAACTGGCTCTTTTTGTTAATTTGTTTTTTCAGATCCTCTTTATCTGCCAGATAAGCTTCTCTACCCGCAAAGCAGCTATAATAATAATAAAGCTTTATACACACAATGTCAGTGGAAGCCATATTTAAAGGCCTTAGATGTGATAATAAGCATTACATCATTTCACAGAGGTGCCAGGCTGAGTGTCATTAACACACACACATTATATGCATGATTTAAAACCTTCAGAAAGTAGGTTCACTAGTTCACTCTTTCTTCTGCTTTTATTCCCCAGGTGGCCTGCATGCAGTTCATCAACATAGTTGTGCACTCGGTGGAGGACATGAACTTCAGAGTTCACCTACAGTTCGACTTCACCAAGCTGTGTCTGGACGACTACTTAGACGTGAGTTGAGACGTAATGCTGTAGGAAACATTCACAGACAGACCAAACACTCCCGCTCTTGATAGTCAGCTCAGCCCAGACAGAGCAGAGGTTGTCATTACAGCACCCCCGAGACAGCCGCCACAGAGAAGCAGTCAATAATGTGTTTTCCATTACCTCAGAAGAAATATCTGTCAGTTCTTTAATTCCTCGTCTCAGATGAGATCAATGCTGGCTTCGGGGTTTGAGATGTCGGCTTAGTGCGGTGAACTGAAGAAGCAAATGTCTCCCACCTCTCACTCCCTAACTGTCTGAATGTTATCATATCTTTACTTTTGTGTGCATTTTTCTCCAGAAACTAAAGCATACAGAGAGTGATAAGCTGCAGGTTCAGATCCAGGCCTACTTGGACAACGTGTTTGACGTGGGAGCCCTTCTGGAGGATGCAGAGACCAAAAACGCAGCGCTGGAGCGTGTGGAGGAGCTGGAGGAGAACATGTCACATGTGAGAGCCCTCCACTGATTGATTTTTACTCCAGGAAGCTGACTCGTCTCTCTCTCATGTATCTTCTTTTGCACTAGGATGTGCGTTAGATTCCAGGATGTCAGCCTGGGATTTACTATGATCTCATGCTTTCCCTTAACTGCCAGACACTTTAAAAAGACAGAGTGCTCACTTTATAAGGACACTTAGAATTCCTCAAAATCTGTAGTCTATGTTAACGTATTGAGTTAGATGCTGCTACCATGTTGGTAATTACAATGTATTTTATTTTGAGCATTCTAATTCATCCAGAATATTTTATATTGTGTATTCTTTGTGATATTTTAGTTTTCTGCTGTTGATATGTATATATTTGCTGTTTATGTTCATTTTTATTTAATTATATTTATTCTTTATTTCAACTTTTAAGTATTTTAATGCCTGAACACATTGCTGCTATAACAATATCATTTCCTAATTTGGGATGAATATAGGATCGATTTATCTCAAGAACTACTCACTTTATAAGGACACATACTTTATGTAACATTTAGAACTTTGAAGTCTTCAAAATGTGGTGTCTATGTTAACATATTTAGTTGGAAGCTGCGACCGCAACAACTTCATTTCCTGGCTTATCATTTTAGATAACAGAGAAGCTGCTGGACACGGAGAATGAGGCCATGTCAAAGATCGTGGAGCTGGAGAAGCAGCTGATGCAAAGGAACAAGGATCTTGAATCGATCAGGGTCAGTCTCAAACTCACGTGTATCTTTTAGGGTTTCATTAGACACTCACTATTACACACAATAAACACTAAACACAAATCATGAGTTAGAAAATACTTCCTTAACTAATCTTAACTCACTGTGTCCGTCCATCTCACACACAGGAAGTGTACAAAGACGCCAGCTCTCAGGTGCACTCGCTGCGGCTGCTGCTGAAGGAGAAGGACGAGGCCATCCAGCGGCAGAGTAACCTGGAGAGGAAGATCCACGAGCTGGAGAGACAAGGCACCATCAAGATCCACAAGAAGGGAGACGGAGACATCACCATCCTGCCCTCCCCCCCCTCGGGGGCAGAGGGCCTGCCGGGCGCTGTGATGGGAGGGAACGGTGCTGCCTACAGTCCCAATCATATGGGAGTCGTATCACCGGGTCCACCTCCACCTCCTCCAGCCCCCCCACTGCCACTGAACGGCACATGTGGGTTTCAAATGAGTTTAATAGCATTTAAGCTTAAATAATAATCACAGTTTGCATGTCTGTTGAAAAGTGTTATTGAGCGTCTTTCTTCTCTCTTAGTGTCAAACGGACCGTCAGCCGTCCCGGCAGCAGCAGCTCCCCCACCTCCCCCGCCTCCCCCTCCCCCTCCGCCTCCGCCTCCTCCACCAGGCCCGCTCTCACAGTTCTCAGCACCACCACCTCCTCCGCCTCCTCCTGGAGCCCCCCCACTGCCCGGCTGTGGCACGCCCACTGTCATCATGAACTCTGGGTTAGCAGGTAAGGTCGTCTCATACACGTTTGAGTCAGGTGTGTGTCTCCGTGTGAGTCAGGTGTGTGTCTCTGTGTGAGTCAGGTGTGTGTCTCCGTGCGAGTCAGGTGTGTGTCTCTGTCTGAGTCAGGTGTGTGTCTCTCTGTGTGAGTCAGGTGTGTGTCTCTGTGTGAGTCAGGTGTGTGTCTCTGTGTGAGTCAGGTGTGTGTCTCTTCAGGTGTGTGTCTCTTCAGGTGTGTGTCTCTTCAGGTGTGTGTCTCTTCAGGTGTGTGTGTCTCTTCAGGTGTGTGTCTCTTCAGGTGTGTGTGTCTCTTCAGGTGTGTGTCTCTTCAGGTGTGTGTCTCTTCAGGTGTGTGTCTCTCTTCAGGTGTGTGTCTCTGTGTGAGTCAGGTGTGTGTCTCTGTGTGAGTCAGGTGTGTGTCTCTGTGTGAGTCAGGTGTGTGTCTCTGTGTGAGTCAGGTGTGTGAGTCAGGTGTGTGAGTCAGGTGTGTGTGTCTCTGTGTGAGTCAGGTGTGTGTCTCTGTGTGAGTCAGGTGTGTGTGTCTCTGTGTGAGTTATGTGTGTTTTATTTGCTATTTTCAGTTATATTAGACTCACTTCCCAACTGCTTTCCCCCGTTGCTCATTTTAAAGGTTGAAACACTTTAAAGGCTGGAGGTGCTGCTGGGAGGTTGAAGCAGTTGCATGCATGTGATGTCCAGGCTTTAATAAGCCTTTTGCAACTGTTTACCTTTTGTTCAACAAAGTTAGTCTTTATATGTATTTGTATGTTTAATAAATAGCAGACAAGTACCAGCATCAGCCCATCAGACTTGAGTTGACAGTTTTTGTGTCTGAAACTTAACCTACTAAATGAACGTTGCATATCAAATGTACTAAAAGGCATGCTACTGCTTAGATTATTGATAAATAAAAGGTCAGCCCCCGACTCATTGAGACTTTTCTCTACTGCATGTAGACGTGGGTGCATTTTCCTGGGTGTGCATGCGTGTGTAAGCAAAACTTCCTGAGATCCAAAACAGTGATGCCAGTCAGTCAGTCAGTCAGTCAAATAAAACTCTTTTAAGTTTGATTTTAAACAAATAAATCCTTTACTGTACCTTGTGTGTTTGAGATGGGCATGTGAACGCTTTCTCACTAACTCTGACAATTTCCTAACGATTTATCTTTGGATTGTTTCTTTTTCTGCCAACCAGAGGGACCCATCAAACTTTCCTGTAGGTTCTGCTTGTCGTGTTCGGTGTTTTGTTCCCCCCCTCTGTCCCCTTCCTTTATCACAAGTTTTTGAAAATGGTATTTTCAGTCTTTGTATCTCAGTAGAAAAGAAACAAAAAAAGTCCCATTTGTGTATTTCATGTCCCTTAGAAAGAGTTTTTTCTCAAACACATTATCTCTTTTTCTAACATGACAGCATTTCAGAACCACATATTACAAAACTCTGTCCCCTTTGACTTTATGAATTATTTCGTCATGCAGCTGTTCACGTTGAGACTTCCTGTGAAAAATTCTGATGATTTCAAACAATGAAAATACCATATTTCAAAATCCTGCATGATTCACACCTTGCTGTAGTTTTTGTTAAAGTGTATGTGTTTGTTTGTATGAATGGAGTATTGCCACATCTCACAGTGTTGTTTGCATGCTGAAACAGAGTGACCTGCTGTGGCACGCTGATGATAGAGAGTACCAGAGTTGGAATGCTGTTTACCTTCTCGTGACGGCCTTATCTCTGTCCCTGCTGACACCTCGTCTCTGTGGCTAAGCAGGACGCCACCTCGCTGTGCAGCTCCAGTGAATCAGCCCAGGTGGTCACAAATAGCCATAATCTGTGCGATAAATAGTGTGACAGGCAGGAAATCCTCAGCATATCCATTTACTGCACAGGGTGTTCCCTTTAGACTTATTCTTCTACCAGAGGCGAACAGGCTGCACCCTGCTGACCAAGTGACCTCATTTTGTTTAAATGAAGGAAGCGTTCTTTCACAATAAAATACAAATAGATCAACTTGTAGTAGGCTTGTGTCCTTTCAGAATTGAAACGGTCATCTCACCAATCACTGTCCACCCCTTCACCTGCACGTGTGTGAATGTGAGTGTGTGTACTCTCAGTGTTTAAGGACGCTGTGTTAACTCTTCTGTTTCCTGTGCAGCGGTTAAGATCAAGAAACCCATCAAGACAAAGTTCCGTATGCCCGTCTTTAACTGGGTCGCCCTGAAACCAAACCAGATCAACGGGACGGTCTTCAATGAGATCGATGACGAGAGGATACTCGAGGTATGAGTCTGCCCTCGGTATGAGTCTGCCCACATCTGACCCCATTTTTATGATAACAGAACAATAACAGAGTCTTTATGTACGTCTTTTAGGACCTGAACGTGGACGAGTTTGAGGAGATGTTTAAGACGAAAGCCCAGGGCCCGGCTATCGACCTCACCTCCAGCAAACAGAAGGTCATCCAGAAGGGGCCCAACAAGATCACGCTGCTGGACTCCAACAGAGCCAAGAACCTGGCCATCACACTGAGGAAAGTGGGCAAGAGTCCCGAGGAGATCTCCAAGGCCATTCAGATGTAAGCCCCTTCAAAATAAAAGACCCAGATCCTTCTAGTGTTCTTACATGCTTATTTTTCTCTTCCATGTACTTTTCTACAACAAGATATTGTAACTGATTGTAAAGATTGTAATAATTGTTGTTTTTAATTATGAATTCAGTTCTGGATGAACCTTTTTTACCTGAAATGTTGTGAAAATATAATTATTTACTTTTTACAAGTTTCTCACTTTCTTATTTGGTTCTGACTTTATTTTCCTATCATCAATCATTTTTTTCCCCCCAACACCACATGGCATTAAATGGTCTTTTTCTGCCCTTCTCTCAGCTTTGACCTGCGCACTCTGCCGGTGGACTACGTTGAGTGTCTGATGCGCTTCCAGCCCACAGAGCATGAGGTGAAAGTCATGCGGCAGTTTGAGAAGGAGCGCAAACCGCTGGAGAGCCTGACGGGCGAGGACCGCTTCATGATGCAGTTCAGCAAGATCGAGCGGCTCATGAATAAGATGACCATCATGGCGTTCATCGGGAACTTCAGTGAGAGCATTCAGATGCTCACGCCGGTGAGAACTGGGATCTCTAACCCTTTTATATCTATACAAAAAGTGGGGCATTATTTTGGGATGACTATAGAAAGTGAATGCAAATCTTCTCATGCCTTCCTCTTTGTTTCCCCCACAGCAAATTCATGCAGTCATTGCAGCTTCTGTGTCCATCAAGTCGTCACAGAAGCTGAAGAAAATTCTAGAGGTGAATCAATAATTTGTGTGTGGACTGAACTTAATGTTGAAATGATTGCAAGGTGTAGCTCACAGTGTTCTCTCTTGTTCTCCAGATTATCTTGGCCCTCGGGAACTACATGAACAGCAGCAAGAGAGGAGCAGTGTACGGATTCAAGCTGCAAAGTTTAGACTTGGTACGTTTCCTCTCTGTGAGTTTAAAGCCTTTTACTTTTTCTGCTCAGATGTTTTCTAAAGTTTGTTGTTTTCTTCTACAGCTACTCGACACCAAGTCGACAGACCGCAAGCTAACGCTGTTACACTACATAGCCAACGTAGTAAAAGAGAAGTACTCTCAGGTTGCGCTCTTCTACAACGAGCTGCACTACGTGGAGAAAGCTGCAGCAGGTGAGCCGTACAGTCGGATGTGTTTGCTGCCCATCACACATGTGTACGTTTCCTGTGCACTCATCTACGTCTGCTTTTGTTCACAGTGTCGTTGGACAACGTCCTGATGGATGTGAGGGAGCTGCAGAGAGGCATGGAGCTGACCAAGAGAGAGTACAGCATGCACGGACACAACACCATGCTCAAAGACTTCATCACACACAATGAGAACAAGCTGAAGAAGCTGCAGGAGGATGCCAAGATTGCACAGGTAATATAAACACAACTCGCTATGTTACGGCTCTATCGCTTTTTTTGTATTGTAGTGAAGTGTTTTCTAACCAAGTCAACTGTCTGTCTTTGAAAGGATGCCTTTGACGAGGCAGTGAAGTTCTTCGGGGAGAACTCCAAAACTACGCCACCCTCCGTCTTCTTCCCCGTGTTTGTGCGATTTATTAGGGCTTACAGGGTGAGTTCCATAAACATCCCTCATAGGAATGACACAAAGTGACATGTACTACTTTAAAGAAGACTCCACCAATACTTTGATAACCTCAAACTCATATTGGACAGTCTTTTATTCAGCTGTGCTATGCTAGAAGTGGCCAAAAGATCCTCAAGTGGAGATGAGGAGCAGCCTACTGGAAAGATACACTTTCTTTCTTTACACCCCCTGATTTCTAGGGCTGTGCGATTACGGCAAAAATCATAATCACCATCATTTTGGTCAATAATTGATATACGATTATTCATTGACTTCCATTTATTGAACTTTAAAACAAATACAAATAATAATTTGAACAGTATCTTTTTAACTGTTGATTACCCTGAACGTGTAATTCAACTGAAAAACCAATACAAAAATAAATGAAATATTTACATTTAAATAAATAATGTAAAAATAATAAATACCAAGAAACAAGATCAACAAATATTTTGGAGCACACTTCCCCAAGCTACTAAACATATATAAATATGATAAATACAAAATAAATGAGACCAAAATAAATTAGCTCAAATATGTTGCAGTGCACTGTCACAACCTAGCAAAGCAAAATAATTGTTGTTTTCGTAATTGTGGCAGACCAAAATCGAAATTGCGATTTAAAATACGATTAATTGCACAGCCCTACTGATTTCTGTCATTTCCTAAGCTTGTAGTCTTCAGCCCCAAACGACGCTGCCTTAAGGGACATCGCTAGAATCCTTTTAGCTCTCTGTGTGGCCACAAAATACTTTATATCACTTTCTTCCTCACAGTAGTACTCCCCAAGACCTGCAAACAGTCTTTGAAGTTTAAAATAGGAAGAGTTCCCCTTTAAGTCACAGCAGCGTCTAGGGAGGGTCAGTGTGGGGATACAAAGAGAAGCCCGTTCCTTCTACACAAATCTAAAGTCAAACAAAAACATCCCACCATGTTTTAGTGCACTTCTGATCCTAACCACAGTAAGGACTTCCTTAATCACATTTATGATACTGAAATAGAATCTCAGCTTGAGCAGCACATGAATTCTTTGAGTTTCTCATATCATCTCAGCAGCATACTTTGCTGTAACGTACACAGTTGTATATTTCAACATTTTGTAACTGTGACATTTTCATTTCATCTCCTCAGCAAGCAGAAGAGGACAATGAGCATAAAAAGAGACAGGAGCAGCTTTTGATGGAGAAGCTTTTAGAACAGGAGGCCATGATGGAGGAAGACACCAAGGTAAGTCATTCCCTTAACCCCCCCTCCTCTATTCTCTCACATCCCCTCCCTCCCTATACCCTCTGCCCTATTTTTTGGGAGGCCACAGTGGATCACAGTGAGCAGAAGGTAAGCCGGTTCCTCTTCATCCTCCCTCCTCCTGATCACAGGATTAGCGGAGCCTGCCGGGTACAGTTATATCTGGGTCTGACGCCCTGCTGAGCCACATCACACTGACTCAGGATCAGCCGTTAACTTCCCTTAATGGTTTAATGAACTTACACTAACTTACAGAGGAAAACGATGTTTCAAGCAAAAGAACTATGATCTGAGCCGAGGGAAATTACGAGTGGCAGAATCACTTGTAGATTTGAGTGACTTGTGACTCAGAGTATAACTTATTAATAAATGTTTAACAATGTCTCTCCTCAGTCTCCTCATAAGAGCAAGCGGCAGCAGCAAGAGCTGATCCAGGAGCTCAGGAAGAAACAGGTGAAAGACAGCCGCCATGTCTACGAAGGCAAAGATGGAGCGATAGAGGACATCATCACGGGTAACGACACACAGGCCTGGATGCTCTCCCTTCATACACACACTCTCTCTCACACACACACACAAAGTACAGGGCACTCTGCATGAAGGTCCTCTTTAATGCTATACAGTCATTAACAAGGGGAATCTAAACCAACTAACTCAATGACTTTGGCTCTGTCAGATGTTTGAGAACTAAAGGGTAACCTAATGAGTACAAACATGCACTGACACTCAGCTCAATGTGTTCTATGATCATTGCTTATCTTGTCTGCTCTGTCATTGCTTTGTAACACTGTACATCTGTACATAGACGGGGCCGGGATGTGACTAAATCGTACAATATTATTTATTCAGATGTAAATGAATACATCTTGAGCCTTCTGAGGGGCGATTAAACTGACATGGACAGTAGTAGAATTTATTTTTACTTAAAAAAAGGAGTATATTTACATTGACTTAATGTAACTTAACACTACCGTATTAAAGGTTCCTTCAGACTTTTGCCACCACAGGAATAATGTTAATGTTTTTTAGTGTTATCGCTGTAACAATATAACTTTGATGTATATTAACAAACAAAGCCAGAATAAGTGAATGGTACAGTTTGTTTCAGACCCTTCAGTGGAGCCTTAACTACTAGAATGAACTCCCATAAAGACATTTAGCCCGGCCCCTCCCGATGCTGTTGTTGTATATTTGCTTAGCGCTAACCAGTGCTAAAACCTGTAGGAGTCTGCTTCTCTTATACTGTGTTTGTCTTGTCTTGTCCTGGCTGTTGTCCTCCTTGTTCTCGATGCAGTTCTGAAGACAGTGCCCTTTACCGCCCGCACCGCCAAGCGCGGCTCTCGGTTCTTCTGCGAGCCCGCCCTCAATGAGGAGTACCATTACTAAGCTTGTAGAACTCTCTCTCTTCTCTAAGGTTGCTGGAACAAAACGTTTTCTTCTTTATGTCTCTCTCTCCTCCTCCCTTGCATGCCTCTTGACACATTTCCTCCCTTTTTTTAAACCGTCACACACCTCCCCTCACACTTTTGGACCCAACTGTGCACTGAGTCTGATCTCATGGTTTTTGCACACACGCCTTTGTGTGTGTGTGTTCACATGTTTTCTCCCTCCTTAGCATGACTTGGTGTCGGTATAACAGTTCTTTCTGCCCACCTGCATGAAGTGTGACACCTCATTTATCATCATTTATTTTGATCAGCCATGGCAAACCATAATGTCACAGAGGAAACGGTCTCCAAGGTTACTCTTATCTGCACTGACAGGAGGTTACAATTAGTGAAGAGTCATTTTTCTCATCAAGTGCTTAAGGAGAAAAGTGAAGCTGCATACTGCCATCTAGTGGTCACTGATTGTAAACAAACACGTACTCATAAATCAAATAATATACAGTTTTCACTGGTTAGATCTAATTTAATAAAGCGTTTCTGTATATATATTATTCATGAGTCATAATCTAGATGGCAGTATGGCAGATCTTGTAAGTGCCTGTGGCATTATAACTTGCTTTCCTGTGTGTTTTAATGATAAATGGATGTTTGTTATCACATAATATCATTACTGTTACAGCTTCTCGCATGCTGATTGCTTCATCTCTAACGCTTCCCCACAATGCATCCCTGATCTCACTGTTAGCCCACACGCTCTGCCTGCTCCTGCTGACCGGTCACCTCACTGTGATGAGTCTGGCTCACCAATACTCTGCATGACTTCTTCATATGAATACTCACTTACATTGCAGCACTCTTTATTTCTTTGGTATCTCTTTGCATTGTGTGTGTGCTACTAACTTCCACCTGTTTACAGTCATCATGCATTAGTAATCCATTCCTCTGGATGCTTGCATGCTTTGGTTGGGTTTGGGTGTATCTGCTATTGAATGTAACAATCCTGCTGTGTTTGTTTCAGTTCACATCTGCCTTGTACTGGAAGTTTGAAACGGGCTCTTTCTCTGTCCTGCTGGTAGCGCCTCCGCAAAGCAGCCTGAGTTTATAACACAGAAAGAAAAGACAGAAGCTTTGATCCTCTACTCCTTCCTCTTAACACTCTCCTGCTCTTTCTCCTCTCCTGCCGCCCCCCACCCCCCTCCTCTGGCCCCGCCCCCGCCCCCATGCAGCCTGCTGCCACTGCTTTGCTCTCACAGTGCTGTCTTAGCAAAGCCGGTGTGAATATGTCGGGCTGACATGCTCCTCCATTTCTAACCTCCACTTTGTCTTCTCTTCATCTAGCCCTAAAGAAGAATAATATTACTAAATTTCCCAATGTCCACTCGAGGGTAAGGAACTCGTCCAGTAGCAAACCTGTAGTGGTGGATGTGTCCCAAACCTGGCAAGCATCCCTTTATTACCTCCCTTCTTCTTTTACTGTCTTCTCAATTAGGATCCACATACCCCTACCCTCTCTTCCACTCCTTCATAACAGTAAACTTGAATGTCTAACGCTAAAAATAGCTACTCTTTTCAGTAGCTTATTCATCCTTTTTACGATGAAGGTGCATCTTGGGGTTTCCCCAGATGCATGGAAGGTTTTCTACTAAGTCAGAAACCCTAAGCCTGTCTCAGTGGTAATGCACAGAGACAGCTGACCGGCAAGGCCTTTTCTCTTCTGTGTAGAACTCATGCTGCTTTGACAGACAGGCTGCCAGCACTCTGAGCATGTTGGCTCATCAAAACACCTCAACAAGATGACTGACAGCTCTTTTATCCACCCCCACCCCCGTCCTACCCCCCTTCTTCCTCCTCAGATTTGAGGAATCAGCCTTACAGGCGAGCAGACGCTGTGCGGAGGAGTGTCAGGAGACGCTTCGATGATCAGAACCTGCGGCCGCTCAACAACGAAGTGGTCGTGTGACGAGGGAGACGTGCATGTGCTGGGGGGGGGGAAGATGGCAAGGATGTGTAAGACAGGATGTTGGATGTAGAATGAAGGACGATAAGTGAAAGATGACGAGTGTAGCAACCATAGAGATGAGTATGTGTATATATATTACATAAGAATGATTCCATGTCTGTGGCGTAGCAGCAGCTTTTCACGATGAAGGACTGGGACGTATGGGACTGAATTGAAAGTGTCTGAAAGGTTGAAACCTTAGACAAGCCAAGTGCCTGAACTTATTTTGTGGGCTAATGTCACGCCGTCTTGTTTGTCTGATGACTGTTTTTTAAAATGTCCCACTTCGAGCAATACCACTTGACCTGGCTTTAATTTGACGATGTGTAAAACTGGACTTGCAGTGGCCTTAAGAGCCACGTAAAGAGATGGAAACGTAATGTAGAATGTATGGGACGCGCTCCCTTTAGCTGTTACAGATATTACATCTTTACGTGTTGGGTTTGATGCTCTGTTTTATCTCGGTACATTCCGGTGCTCTTTTACATTCCTCTTACAATACGATGTGCTCAACCTGCACTCTTTTTTTATCTCATGAGGTTTTTCCAACTCTGACTAAAAGGGCTGATGATCAGGCCTGAAAAAGGTTATCAGAAAAGTAATTTGTTTTTACTAAAGTATGAAAAAGTAATCAAGACAAGAGTAAAGTGAATTTTACATATCAGGCAGATGCTGACTTCTCCTCCATAATTAGTTTGTTAAGTAAATGGATCAAGACTGAATTTGTCGATCTAAAATCAATGAGTGCTCTCATAAACTCTACCGTCCATTTTAAATGTTGCATTTCTGTAGCAGCACAGCAGTTTGTCTGGTTTCTGGGAACAAATCAGGAGTGAATGAGCCTGTAAAGCAACATTGAAAACATTTTATACCAAACGTAAATACTGCACAAAATATGCTGAACCCTGTCTCATTGTCATAACTGGACTTAGCATTTCATCTCTGTCAACTGTTTTTCTTTCTACAAATCGATTATATTCCAGGCTACTGTGTCTACTCACTTTATTGTAATTTTAATGTATAGTATTTAACCACTGAAAGGATTTCTTTAAGCTCATGTTTTCATCTAATGTGTGTCTGCGGTCAAAAACAAGTACTCAACAAAGTAAACCTAAATGTACAGATATTTTGCTACAAACCATGTTTTCTTTTTTTTTTTACCTAATTCACATTACCTGATGGTTAATATTGTACATATTGTTTAAACAAAAAGTTTTCATTGCTTTGTGCTATACAACTTGAATGTTATTTTAACTTATAGTTTTTGTTTCCATTTGTTTGTATATTTAATTAAGCCAAATGCAGCCGGACTCAGTAGTGTTGAATCATCTCACATCATTACTTTGCTGACTGGTGTTTCACAGGAGCATCAACTTCAGATACAGGAACATGCAGCACGTTCTGATTTCAAGTGTTGGTACATTAAAGGTGGGGTAGGTAAGTTTGAGAAACCGGCTCGAGATACACTTTTTGTTATATTCCATGGAATGCTCTTAACATCCCGATAGCAATGAATATCTTAAGTGCTTTGACAAAAAATCCATAAAAAAAAGTCATCTGTGGAAGCCGTAATACTGTAAAAAGTACGAACAATCATTTTAGCCGGCCCGGCTAAAATAACTGGATGGCCTACCTGCCTGTCAGCCTTCCATCTGTGCACACATTTATCTCGTGCCCTCATTGGTCATGTGCGCGTTCGTGTGTATTGGAGGAGGGGCTCTATAAGGAAGTGGCAGATTTTCTCCGGTTGTGTATTCTCAAACTTACCTACCCCACCTTTAAACCTCTTAATCATAAAAGACGTATCTAAAATAAACTTGTATTAAGTCACCCTGTGGTCAGCTGGTTTTGAGGCTCTGACTGTCATCATCTCCACAGAATCACGTGCTGCCGTTCATCTCCATTTTGTTTTCTTCACCGTCTGTAATAGCGACGTCTAACTGGATAATACTGGCATGTTTTATTTTTTTCACCAGAAATGTATTTTAGGCAGTTTGTGCTTATGTCAAAATAACTTTTTTTTAAAAATAGGTGATATGAGATTTTCAACGAATATGATCAAATAAACTATTTACATTGAATATAAAACTTTTACCCTGGGTATGATTTTCTCCTCTTTCTGAAATGGTCGTAATGATGTGGAATTAAGGGAAAGCTATCACTACACGACTTCATACTGAATAACATGTTTTTTTAGAATAACACATACTGGAGGGTTTGTTAGTGTGATATGCCGGACTCATACGTCGATATTTGAGCCTTTGACCTTAGAATCCATTTACAAACATAATCATTGAACCAGTATTTTATTGCATTTCACGACAATATTTCCATTTGAACAGACACTCCCATTAAAATCTTAATGGACAACTCCGCTGCAGTTAAGACCAGATCAAAAAAACGGTTAAATTATCTCTGAGGATGAATAAGAGATTATGAAAGATGTGTTGTCCTTGAACCTATTCCTTCTCCAGGTGAAGAACAGTCAGTGTGACATTCAGGATATACTTTTAATTGAGTATAAAAATGATTGGCAATGAAAAACATGTACAGCTACAGTCAACTAAAAAAAACAACTAACGAAAGCAACAAAAAGACAACCTGACAATGAAAGGTTGATCAGCTGATCAGTTTCCTGAACTCAAATTAGTCACCAAATAAGCTTAAGCTCAGTTTCGCACACCCCATAGATACTGGAGAGCGATGTAACCACTCAGTCCCCGGACAGTCAGGAGCTCGGAGGGGAATGCATGTTGTAAGTGTACAAATACAATGAAATGTGATCATCAGGGGGCATCCAGCTGCTCCAGTAAAGTTCTCCTCCTCTTCTCCAGCTCTCCTTCACTCAGCTCGCTGCCTGACGTATCCCAGCCGCCCTGAACACAACACAGACTCAATGTAAACTCAAACTGATGTAAAGATGAAAGTTTGGGAGTTTTCACACGACCACCTCTGAGTCATAGTGATGACCTCGCCCAATGGCTAACACCATACATGCTTTACATGGTCACTGTTCCCAGCTGAACCTCCAAACAATAACAGCTATTCAAATATCACTTTGTATATCCGTTTGTCATCCGTTTAGGAAACCTACCTCCTCCTTAACTGGTTTTCTTTTAGGGGACTTCTGTTTAGAGTCAGAGCGAGGTTTCCCTCTGGACTTGTCGTTCTCTTTGTCTTTCTCCAAGTCCTTCTCCCGCTTCCCGTCGCGCTCTCTCCCTTTCTTCTCAGTGTCAGTGTCTGGCGATCCCTGGTGGTTATAGTCACCATTAGTGCACACCAGTGTAAGAAAACGTTTTTAGAGAGTACTTGTCCATGGACAAGTGAGTTTGGCAATTTACTTGTCCGAATACATTTTTCACTTGTCCAAAATCGATCGGCATCGTATTTTACATTTTCCCACGGTTTTTACGGTAAGATTTTACTGCATCACACATAGGGATGGGTATCGTTTGGATTTGAACGATTCCGGTTCTGCTTTTCGATTCCGGTTCTTTTTTTCGGTTCTCGATTCTGGTTCGTTGAGAGGGTAAAAATAAGTCCCATGATAAACTGGGAGAAAAATATATTTATGAAAACATTAAGTCAAATCTGTATTCCTTTTTAAAAATCACTTCATACTGTTTAATTTTGTTACAGTTATTGAATACAATTATATAAAAATAATTGTTTAGTTAGTTCTAAGTGGTGCAGTTTGAGAATGTACAATTGGCCCAGTCTCCTCTGATGTTACACTGCAACCTGCCTGTGAGACAGAGTCCAACCACAGTCTGTGTGTCCAACACATGTCCTGCAATAAACATGCTGCAGCTGCCCAGCTGCTCACTGTTTGTAAAAGTAAATAAATAGTATTTTCATTTCAATAATGTACTTTCTATACCCTGCTTCATAAACAATACTGACATTCCTGTGCTCCTCCGAGTCTGGGGGTCCGGGGATGTGAGGACAGCGCGAGGACACAGACAGGGAGGCTGATTTAATTCATAAAGGAAATGGCGGTCAATATTAACAACATAGGAGCTAAAACGCTTAATAACCTTCATTACGTGTTAGAGAAAGAACATAAGAAAGTTTGACAAAGATTAGGCTGTTAAACGGGCAGCGAATCAGCTGATACGGCAATACGATACGGAGCATAGGGAGAGAGAGCTGCGGTCCGCGGGCTCGGCCTCCGCCTCCTGTCCTCACAATTCTTATTAATCCCGGTGCCGGACAATTGTTATTAACTTATTTGTTCTTACTCGGAACCGAGTTTTGCTTCCCAAGCCTGCCAATGTGCTACACGTCCCGCCCCGCCCCCGTCTAACAGTACAGAAAGCGGCGAGATGCTTTTCCTTAGGAATCGACAAGCAAAACCACAACAATGGCGGACACGGACAATTTACGAATTAGTTCTGCCTTTTGTAAGCTGAATTTATCAATAATTTGTCAATAAATAAGGGCGAAAAACGTCACTTGTCCATCGGACAAGTCAATTTAAAGATCTACTTGTCCGATATTGTAAATAACACGTTCCGGACGGTGGGACGTGTGCTTTTTCGCACACTGCACACGCATACACAACGTACACATACATGTAAACACAACACATGCACTTGGGAGTCCTGTAAGTTACTTACAGACTTGTGGCGCCTCTTCTTTCCCTTCTTCTTGTGCTTCTTGGATTTCTTGTAGCTTCTCTCTGGTTAGAGGCACAACATGTCAGTAACAGGTCAATAGTGCTGCTCTTCTTCCGTCACTGAGGAAATAATATATGGGAGCTTTGAAAGCCACTCACCAGATTCTCCAGAAGACGAGCGCTCAGAAGGAGACTTGGACTGGGACCTCTTTTTCTTCTTGTGGTATTCATCGTCCTCAGACTCTGAGCCGCCCTGTGGAAACATGAGGAAACATGAGGAGACATGAGGAGACATGTGGAGACATGTGGAGACATGAGGAGACATGTGGAAACATGTGGAGATATGCGGAAACATGTGGAGACATGTGGAAACATGTGGAAACATGAGGAAACATGTGGAGACATGTCTCCACATGAGGAAACATGTGGAAACATGAAGATGAAGAGGAGCCTGAGAGGAAGGCGGAGGGATCTGTGTGCGCGGCGAGGACTAACCGATCGAGAGCGGGAGCGCTTCCTGTGGTGCTTCTTGGACTTCTTGGAGTGCTTCTTTGTCTTGGAGTGGTGGTGTTGGCATTCATGCTGTAGAAGAAGAGACGGGGTGAAGACATGCCTTGGTAATAAACATTGTCACCAAGATGATTCATTCCCACTGCCACAAACGCACCTCTAAGACATGCATGAAGTCTTTGAATATCCTCTTCCTCTCCGACTCCAGAGTCACGTCTTCGAACGCAGACTCCTTCAGGAATCTGTCTCGGATCTGAAATCATCACAGATCATGATCAGTAACACGACCTGGTGCTATGACCTGGTGCTATGACCCGGTGCTATGACCCGGTGCTATGAGCCGGTGCTATGAGCCGGTGCTATGAGCCGGTGCTATGAGCCGGTGCTATGAGCCGGTGCTATGACCCGGTGCTATGACCCGGTGCTATGACCCGGTGCTATGACCCGGTGCTATGAGCCGGTGCTATGACCCGGTGCTATGACCCGGTGCTATGAGCCGGTGCTATGACCCGGTGCTATGAGCAGTCTATACAAACTAAAGATTAAGGAGAGCGATGTAAACACAAATCAGCTGGTGCTTGAAAGCATAAGAGTCGTTCCATAGGTCTTACCCCCTCCCATGTGGTCTCGGGCTCCAGGGGGGGGGTGGCCAGCTTCAGCATGTTTTTGAAGGTTGCTTCTTTCCTCTTCATCTTCCTGGCCTCCTCCTTCTCTCGCTCCCTCTCTCTGGCTTCAGCCTTCTCCAGTAACTACAAAGACAAAGATTGGAAAATGAGTTCATCGAATCAATTCTAAAACAATACAAGTTGGAAAACCACAAGGAAAGGCCTCGAAATAACAGAGAGGTGAGTTTTAAGCATCACATCCAAAGACAGAGATAACCCATGCTCAAGATGAAATATTAAGCTTTTCATGAAATAAAATACATTTTTTTCTTTATCTTTGGACTTACGATAAGTTGTTCAATACTTTTCCTGTAAATGTAATTGTTTACCAGC